ATATATATCGATTTTTAGTTATTAATACAGGGTTAAATTAAACAGTAATGAGAACCATATGGTAAAAGAATCATTTAAAGTCCGACATTTCGTTATGAAGTTACAAGAGCTTATACAAAGCTGTTTCAAACCGGTATTTGAGAAACCAACCTTCAAACGTTACGATTTTGGGCATTTTTTAGGCAGAAACCATCACCAAGTCGTAAAAAATTGTTGTTAGCATTCAAAATTAGGAAAATAACAGCATAGCATTACAGTATGTATTAATACATAAAGGTTAGTTTAGTACAATAAAATAGATTTCCCAATTGTTGACATTCGAGCATGTTTTGGCCATTATCTCCAAAACAGGATATGCGACGAGTGACTGATTTGGCTTGTCTTTGCACATGCTGTATGTCTACATACAGTGCAAGAAGCATTACAAGCGTAATTTTGCCATTGAGGGCTCACCATCCTAAAATCTGCATACTGTCACTATATGTTAATTTAAACTGAGTAAACTGACAGTAATGGCAGTCAACCCCAAAAAAAAAAAAAAAATTAGTCGGACATCTTAGCGCCCCCCCCCCCCAATAAATAATTATATCCTAGAGCCACCACTGGTAATGTACTGGTATGTGATACTGTAGTTCAGAGGAGACGTAATACTTTTACTCATAACTTTGGCAATAGTAAATAGATTTCAGTAACTGATCTATCATTTAAAGCATATAAATAATAATGATAATTATATATTTTAATAATAATAATAATAATAACAACAAAAGCACTAAATAGAGAGCATATCTCCGCCCACTGCAAATCCCTTTCTCAAAAATAAATCCCTAAAAAGTATGTTCCTACTTTCGAACCACCAACCACCATCTACTTAAAAAGAAATTACACTTAAACACGAAAGTTGAATTCAAATCAGTTGATTACTTTTTGGGATCTGATCTGGGACATTTTGCTTTGAATTAGTCCATATATTCACATCCACACCAAAATTTAATCAATCAATTTTTCAAATGCCTTTTATTGTATCAGTTGTACACCTGCCAATGCCTTACATCTTCTAGCTTTAACACACTGGAATGTCACACTCTTATACCTGACAAAAAAACACATACCGCTACCATGTATTAGTGTTCAAATGGAAATATGCTAATATAAATATGAGGGTTTGGTCGTCACATTGTATAGATGTATTAAAAATAATTCCCAATCAGTTCCGAAAAAAGTGAAGTTAGTACATACAAAACGCTGTACAGTTTTACTGTAATTGCACTAATTTAGATATTCATCATATAACTATTGTTTATGCCTACAGTAAACAGTAAAAATTTTTTTAATGGTCCTAGAGGTATTTAGGTGTGGGACCTGGCCTCCATGCACACCCGACTTTGGATCATCACCAATAATTCAAATTTATTTTCCTTGTAACTTGATTAAACTTTAACGAAAATTTCATTCAGATCATTTTATTAGTTTTTTTAATATCTGGTCTGGGACGTTTTCATTTGAATGGTTCTCATATCCATACCCTTTTTTCATTGAAACATGACAAATTATTGTGGAAAGGGAAATTTTGATCCATTGATTATCAAGAATACGTATGCAACTACTCAATTCTTTTATGTATACACACATAACAGGCCTTTTTAATGTAACAAGAATGAGAACAGTAAGCTATTAAACTGTTTTCAAGAGGGGGAAAACCTTGAATTTTGAAGAACTTATCATTATGATACACCCAGCTCACAAATCCATTTTACTAGTTGGGGGTCCCCTCCCACTTTGAAAACGTTCCACCAGCCCTGCATTCTCAACCAACAATAGTTCTTTCCAGAACTATCTTTGTTGTGTACTGCAAGCATTCATATATATAAAATGCATGCCTATCATTTTCATTCTGCATGTAATATTTACCGTAATTATGTTATGATTAATAGTTCATAAAATTAAAATTTAATTATTTGACCAAATTTTTTTTTCTAGAATTATAATAAGTAAATTAGCAATTAAACATCTTGATATTTATGGTGCATTTGTATTTTCTCATCCTAAATCTAATTATTGCAATTTATTTTATTATAGAAATTCTGAAGAAAATTTAGACATTGCACCTCTGCAACAAGTGGACCAGCCCTGCTTGGCTGAATGGCGAATTTTGCTTCCTCTACTGAATGGTGAGTGTGCTAGAAAAACTTTGTGAATTTTCTTGTTATAAATTTCATGTCCATTGCAAATTGCTTTGTGGGATAAATAAATGCCTACATCGATTTCAGATTTGATACATGTTTCTGAAATTATTTGATTTACATGTAATAATAAATAACTTTAAAATGTTTGTTTTAATAATAAATAACTTTAAATTGCTATATTAATTTTCGTAAATGTTTCAATTGTTTTCCCTTTCTACTGGACTTAAAAATTGTTGTATAAATTGCATAAATGTTTCAATTAAAAATAACTTTAAACATTTTCCCTTTCCACTGGACTTAAAAATTGTTGTATAAATTTGCGTAAATCTTTCAATTAAAAATAACTTTGAATGTTTTCCCTTTCCACTGGGCTTAAAAATTGTTGTATAAATTTGAGTAAATGTTTCAATTGAAAATAACTTTGATAAATGTTTTACCTTTCCACTGGGCTTAAACATTGTTGTATAAATTTGCGTAAATGTTTCAATTGAAAATAACTTTAAACGTTTTCCCTTTCCACTGGACTTAAAAATTGTTGTATAAATTTGCGTAAATGTTTCAATTGAAAATAACTTTGAATGTTTTCCCTTTCCACTGAGACTTAAAAATTGTTGTATAAATTTGCGTAAATGTTTCAATTGAAAATAACTTTAAACGTTTTCCCTTTCCACTGGACTTAAAAATTGTTGTATAAATTTGCGTAAATGTTTCAATTAAAAATAACTTTGAATGTTTTCCCTTTCCACTGGACTTAAAAATTGTTGTATAAATTTGCGTAAATGTTTCAATTGAAAATAACTTTGAACGTTTTCCCTTTCCACTGAGACTTAAAAATTGTTGTATAAATTTGCGTAAATGTTTCAATTGAAAATAACTTTGAATGTTTTCCCTTTCCACTGAGACTTAAAAATTGTTGTATAAATTTGCGTAAATGTTTCAATTAAAAATAACTTTGAATGTTTTCCCTTTCCACTGGACTTAAAAATTGTATAAATTTGCGTAAATGTTTCAATTAAAAATAACTTTAAACGTTTTCCCTTTCCACTGGACTTAAAAATTGTTGTATAAATTTGCGTGAATGTTTTCCCTTTCCACTGATGCGTAAATGTTTCAATTGAAAATAACTTTGAATGTTTTCTCACTTTCCACTGGACTTAAAAATTGTTGTATAAATTTGCGTAAATGTTTCAATTGAAAATCACTTTCCACTGGACTTAAAAATTGTTGTATTAAATTGCGTAAATGTTTCATTTAGAAATAACTTCGAATGTTTTCCATTCCATAGCTTATTGCTCTAATTTCTTATTCTTTCAGAATGTGGCGACTGAATTGGCAATTAAAGTTTTCTATTTCAAATAAATATTCTTTGCAATTTAATATCGTTTTGGAAATATTTTGAATAAATATTCATTGTAATTTAGTATTTTGAATAAATAAATATTCATTGTATTCAGTTTAGTATCGAGTATTGTTTTCTTCTTGAGCACTGAAAAAGCAGGATGGCAAAAAAAAAAAGCGCCCTCGAATAGAAAAAGGCCCTAAATATGACTAAGTTATTTGGCCACAATAATCTGTCCGGTTCTGATAAAAATAGTGAAGAAAATCGCCCTAAATAGCCATTTTAATTCAAAGTTTTTTAGGGTGTCTTAACTGTCAATGGCAGTAAGCGCCCTCTAACACCCAATTTTTTCAGAATAGCATAAAAACTGGATATTACAGGGCACTACCACCTTATTAATTAAATTAATGACAAATAAGAGACCACCGAAAAATGTTGAACTAAAATGGCTATAGAGGGCGGTTTTCAGCACCACACAGGGCCCCTTTAAATAATTTTAGAGACCCTGGAAATTTTGGCTTTCTATTAGAGGGCGCCCTTCAGCACCACTTCTAATAGAAATTGAGGACATGGGAAAAATTAGCCTTTTTCTATTGGAGGGCGCTTTTCTCATCTTACCTGCATCCATCAGTCAAGCCATCAGTCTTCAAACTTGAACAGCAAAGAAACATTAAAACACTATTGATCTTTTTTATGTTGTCTTCATAACCAAAATCGCGTAATGAAAATTATTAGGCATCAACAATTCATTATATGGAAAGTTATAGTCATTTTCTGGTTGTCTTAGTAATTAGTCAGTTCATATCTTCTGTACAATATAATCAGTTTTTCAGAATGAAGCAATTGTTGTCTTGATGCTGCAACAACTTACCTGCATCCACCAGTCTTCAAACTTGAACAGCAAAGAAAAGTCAACACACTACTTATATTTTTTATTATCTTCATAACCAAAATCACATAATTTAAATTAACAACATCAACAATTCAATTCATTATATAAAAAGTTAAAATGCTCTGCTAGTCATCATAGTAGTTTTCTGGATCTCTGGTCTGATTGTAATTAGCCAGTTTATATCTTCTGTACAATATACTCAGTTTTTTTCAGAATTAAGCAATTGTTGTCTTGATGCTGCAACAAATAATACAACCGCTTTCACCAGGATTACGGCATCACAATATTCAGCAAGATGTTAGCAAAACTTCTGTATTGTATTAAGCATGACAAATTAAATTAACTAAATTAAATTATATTGCCTATATTAGAAAAAATTAATTATAATAGGTTTCTCTTCCTTGTCTTCCTCTGCAGCAGTACTTTTCCTGTCTTGCAACTGTGTTGCTCCATCCACCAAAAATAGATTCTAAAAAATTAGACACAAACATGAATTAAACAAAATTAAAGGTAATAATAAAGTTAATAAATTCATAAAGCTTCAGTATATTTCACTTAATACTTACAGTATTATTAATTCTTTGATGTATATCAAAAATTACTTATCATATTGCAGAGAGTTGTCCGTCGTCTGCAAAAAAAAAAAAAAAAAATTCAGTTGTTTTCTTATTCTCAGTGACTTTCACAAATACTGATTTGGGAAAGCGCAAGCTCAGTGTTGTAGTGGTTAAGCACCAGGCTAGTTATCTCGTGTACCACTGACTACTGTAATGCCATTCAATGCTGTTTTTTATGTTAGGAATGTTTTAATTCATTATACTGAATGCTCAGCATGTTCCATAATACTTAGAAATAAAGTCATTTGGGTAGGAATTGAACAACTGAGCTTACACTATAGTGGCTTTGTGTTGAATCTGATTTAAGCTAAAGAAATCTTGCAAGAGTCTAATTTCCAAGTAGCAGCAAGTATGCCTACTGTGATGCTTTTCAATTGTTTTATTTTTTTCCAAACACCATCAAATATAATTCTCACATCACAAGCAGTTATTGTATTGCCCCATCAATATGCACCCTTGTCAAACATTCATGATTCCATATGCTTTGACACTTTAACATTGACTGGATGCTCCTATACCATCCTTTACCAGGATTATCGCATTATTCAGCAAATGTTCTAATAAAACTGCAGTACACTTTTCATGACTTGCTTGCTGCATTGGTCATGTTCAGTTGCTTCATCTGCCAAAAAAAAAAAAAAAAAAAAAAAAAAGAACAAGAAACAGTAAGGTTGAAACATGATAATTTTAAGGAACGAAGAAATTATATCATCAGTTTGAAGATTCAATAGACTTTCTTTATTTTTGTTTTTTGTTTTATAGGGTAAATAGGGAAGGTCCACCACTACAGGTAAGCATTATCTCAGACCTCCATGCCCGTTTTACGTAGGACATGGCTAGGGGGCCCACCCCACTTTTTGGCAGAAAATATATAATGTCTGGAGATTTTTGTATGATCAGAAAGAAATGCAAGAAAATAAAGAGGAAAGAAGGAGATCGAGCGGAAAGAGTGTTTATCCAGTCCCCAACCAAGTTACATTTTCTCGCAACACACACACATACATGACTATTTTATCTTTTAAAAACTTTCTTAATTCTTAATTATTTGTATTGTATATATATTTAGGAATGTTTATGTTACTTGCATTGCATTTCAATATTTGTTTAATTATGCAACTGTACGACTCAATATATATATATATATATATATATATATATATATATATATTTGCAACTGTACGACTTTGAAAAACAGTACACAAGTACTGAAAGTGCAGTAAAAAGACAGAATAATTAAATAAGGTATCCTTGTACTATAAAAATAAGAAAATATTTATTACATGATTTTGCAAATTAATTTTCATCAGCGTGTACAAGCATGTAAAATGTACAGCCTACCTAATCACATCAAAAATCCTTTTCGAAACAAGCCGTGTTCGTCCGCCTGAGTCTATTTCCACCATGCCATGCACGCCTACAAAGAAACTGGCTCGTATTGTTTGATAACGAAACTTTAAAAGTCTAAAAAAAAAAATACAAATTACAATTGTTTTATTTTAATACATACAATATATAGGCCTACCTCATTTTGTTGATACTTACATCACAAATATACCCATAATCATAAAACAATGGCTTTTTTTTTGTGCTAAAATACAGCTTGTCCACAATATCTGTTGTCAAATCATGTCAAGCGGTTTTTGCAAATTAATTTTCATCAGCATGTACAACTATATAAAATGCACAGGCCCATCTAATCACATGAAAAATCCTTTTCGAAACAAGCCGCGTTCGTCCGCCCGAGTCTATTTCCACCATGCCATGTACACCTACAAAGAAACTGACTCGTATTGTTTGATAACGAAAAGAAACGTCTAAAAAAAAAATACAAATTGCAATTGTTTTATTTTAACACATATAATATATAGGCCTACCTCGTTTTGTTGATATGTACATCACAAATATACCCCATAATCATAAAACAATGGCATTTTTTTTTGTTGCTAAAATACAGCTTGTCCACAATATCCGTCGTCAACTCATGTCAAGCGGTTTTTGCCAATTAATTTTCATCAGCATGTACAAGTATATAAAATGCTCAGGCCTACCTAATCACATCAAAAATCCTTTTCGAAACAAGCCACGTTCGTCCACCCGAGTCTATTTCCACCATGCCATGCACACCTACAAAGAAACTGACTCGTATTGTTTGATAACGAAACTAAACGTCTAAAAAAGAATACAAATTGCAATTACTAGTAAGAGTACGTTTTGTATAAATATTTAACATAAAAATAACGCTAAAAAGAAAAGATCAGTAGAAAAAAGCTAATCTACAATGTCAAAGTTCATAACAGTGGGATATTAATCCCTGTGTTAGATAAAAAGCTTTGCTTTGACAGAGTCACATTGTTTATTCAGACTGAGTTTTAATTGTCTAATATATAGCATTTCATGAATGAGACAAGTCAAATTTGTTCCTACATTTCTTTAAAATGCTGAAACATGACTCAATACTGCTTGGGCTGATATGATGGTCCTTAGCATGTTGTCCTAACAATCTTGTTCAGCAATACGTTGGTAGAGGTGTCGGTTTGTGTATCCGACATAACTTGCATCACACAAGTAAAGAAATTGCATGGCAGATTCTGTGTTAGGCATAAATACTAGAATATCATCAACGTATCGCTTGTAATATTTCGGCATTTGATTGCTAGATTCAAGGCGTTCCTCTATATTGCACATGAATGCATTTGCCATAAGTGGACGTAAGGGTGATCCCATTGCTACTCCATCGATCTGTTCATACAAGTTACTTTGAAATTGAAAAAGCAAATTGCAATTGTTTTATTTTAACACATACAATATATAGGCCTACCTCGATTTGTTGATACGTACATCACAAATATACCCCATAATCATAAAACAATGGCATTTTTTTTTTGCTAAAATAAAGTTTGTCCACAATATCCGTCGTCAACTCATGTCAAGCGGTTCTTTGGAATTCCAGTATATTAGATGAAAATGGCCACAGGAATTACTAAAGTTTAATTATTGGAGTAAATAATCTTTATCCAAGGGTATAAATAGAGATTATATATTTGCTTTTCCACATTGGCGTGTACAAATATACACAGACACATACAAAAGGCATCAAAATTATATAAAAACATTAAAAAGGATATTGACTGAGAAAACATTTAAGGATAAAAACACAGGAAATTACAAAAAGCAACTTATTTACACCATGGTCCCCAAATGAGAATACTAAAATACCAGAAAAATAATAATAGAACTATAAATATGGAAACAATATAATAAATACATTTTAAATTCTACAGAAAATTCAATTTTGAAACATCAAATTTAAACTATATTGTATTATGAAGTTCAGATATATAATGGTTCTTTATGAGTTCCTAAAGTACCATTATTAAAACACAGGTTTTTTTTCATCTTGCCAGTCAGTTACCAGGTAACAGAGCACAGAAACTGGATGCAAGCCAACAGTACCTGTGGAAACTGGCATTCTCTTAGTACCTGTAAATTGTACAAGCTGCGCTCATAATAGAAAGAAAATGCCCACATGTAGGCGTTACCTGACTACCCTCTTCATCTATGCAGCAGCAGTCATCTAATGATGCTGCTTTTCTTTCAACT